CTAAAGCGTTGCACAAGTTGTTGGTGCTATAGAAATTTTGTTTATTATTAATATTATTATTATTAATAATAATAATAATAATAATAATAATAAATAATAATGTATTTATACAAATATATTTATAATATATAAAAAAAAGCTCTAATGAAGAGCTCTCTGAATCATCTTGTATTAAATTGTAATTTTCTAAAGCGTTGCACAAGCCGTTTGTGCTATAGAAATGTTGTATATTATTGTTATTGTTAGTATTATTATTATTATAATAATAACAATAATATGAATGAATATTATTATTATTATTATCAATAATACTAATAATAATGAAGTATTTATAAAAATATAAACAAACACACACAAAACACAAATGAAAGAAACAAAAAGTCAAATAAACTACCCCTGAAAAAAAGATACATTGTGGAAAAAAATTTTTTTTTTTTTTGCCCAAGCAGCTCAATCATAAAAAGGAAACTTTTTACAAATGCTATATCTGTAGTTTTGTAACAAAATATTCTTTTTTTTTGTGATCACTCCATGATTAAGAGGCCGGTCACACCGGCTGCGACCTGCCATGTGATTTGCCGTGCCCTGCGTGTTTCAAATCGCAGGGTGAGTCGCATCCTATAGTCCGGAATTAAAGCGATCACATCGGTGCGATTCCGACTTGAGATGACCCTGGTACCTTTCATAGGCTTTTTTGGGTGTGGTTTGAGCGTGGGCGAAGACACAGGGGCCCTATGATCCCCTATTGCCCGGAGGCCCCATGCTCCCCTATTGCCTGGGGGCCCCATGCTCCCCTATTGCCTGGGGGCCCCATGATCCCCTATTGCCCAGGGGCTCCATGATCCCCTATTACCCGGGAGCCCCATGATCCCCTATTACCCGGGGCCCCATGATCCTCTATTACCTGGCGGCCCCATGATCCCCTATTGCCCGGAGGCCCCATGATCCCCTATTACCCGGGGGCCCCATGATCCTCTATTACCTGGCGGCCCCATGATTTTATATTTGCTCGGAGGCCCCCCGGGGGCCCATGATCCCCTATTGCCTGGGGGCCCCATGATCCCCTATTACTCGGGGGCCCCATGATCCTCTATTACCCTTATTGCCCGGGGGCCCCATGGCGGGGCCCCCCCTATGATCCCTATTGCCCGGGGGCCCCATGATCCCCTATTGCCCGGAGGCCCCATGATCCCCTATTGCCCGGAGGCCCCATGATCCCCTATTGCCCGGGGGCCCCATGAGTTGTCAGTCCACCCCTGATAGTGCCCCATCATTGGTTTATTTTTATTTTTATATATTTAAAATAATAAAGTTAATTTTTTATTTTTTATTTATGTTTTTGAAGCCTTTATTGAGTGATATCCATATATGTATATATATTACCTGATGGGATGAAAGGAGTGATGTTGGGGATGAAGTTTTGTAGGAAAGCACTTCTGTTGTAAAGGACTCTGACGTCAAGCAATAGGAGGAGCGATGTTTAGTATTTCTTGGGAGGTGTTTGGACCAATAGGAACCGAGGGGGCGGGTTCCTTCCGGGTATTTAAGGGAGTGATGAGAGAGGAAGTGGACATCTTGAGAACGCCCGTGGGAGGGGCGAAACACCCAATGGGAGGGGCGAAACGCGTTGACGCATTTCCGGGCCATACCCCGTACGTCTGATGTCACTTCCGGTGAGTGGGGCTCACGCTGAGTGGTGCGTTCCAGCGGCCATTGTTGGGAGCTGTGTTGGTCTGTTTTGTGGATTCTCTGCTCTATCCTGTGGCTGATGTGAGATTCCTGAAAGAGGAGGCTGTAAAACGCTCGGGTTCCATCCGGAGGCCACTGTACTCAATAAATGCGCCTTTTACAAGTTGCTGCCATGTGAGCGGCCTTAATCCCTGCTTAGAAATGTTATTATTGTTTGGCAATATCACACTATTTGAGATTTTTTTCTCCTGGTGAACGCTGGAGCCGATTCGGATGGTGAAGAATTCTATGGATGGAGTGGATGCTGAAGAGGGTTTAGGATCCCTTTAAAATCCCGAAAGGCTTCTCACTCGCTAAGTTCTGCTGAGCGCATTGGATGTTGGTTTTTGTACGGGTGGAAGGGTGACGTTTTCCTTGTATTTGAAGAATTTTTGGAACTTCTGATTTTTATTATTCACGGACTTTTGGTGTTTAATATTAATACTACCCGGGACGTTCACTATTACTTCATGGTTTATCATTCTGCAACTCCCTCCTCACTGGCCTGCCTCACCGCAGGCTATCCCCGCTTCAGTCCATCCTGAATACGGCTGCCAGACTCATTCACCTTTCCAACTGCTCCGTTTATGCCACCCCCCTTTGCCAATCCCTCCACTGGCTCCACCCCCTTTGCCAATCCCTCCACTGGCCTCCACTCAGTGTCCTCCACCCCTCTCTGCCAATCCCTCCACTGGCCTCCACTCTGTGTCCTCCACCCCTCTCTGCCAATCCCTCCACTGGCCTCCACTCTGTGTCCTCCACCCCTCTCTGCCAATCCCTCCACTGGCCTCCACCCCCCTCTGCCAATCCCTCCACTGGCCTCCATCTCCTCTGCCAATCCCTCCACTGGCCTCCACTCAGTGTCCTCCACCCCTCTCTGCCAATCCCTCCACTGGCCTCCACTCTGTGTCCTCCACCCCTCTCTGCCAATCCCTCCACTGGCCTCCACCCCCCTCTGCCAATCCCTCCACTGGCCTCCACTCTGTGTCCTCCACCCCTCTCTGCAATCCCTCCACTGGCCTCCACTCTGTGTCCTCCACCCCCTTTGCCAATCCCTCCACTGGCTCCACCCCCCTTTGCCAATCCCTCCACTGGCCTCCACTCAGTGTCCTCCACCCCTCTCTGCCAATCCCTCCACCCTCCACTCTGTGTCCTCCACCCCCCTCTGCCAATCCCTCCACTGGCCTCCATCTCCTCTGCCAATCCCTCCACTGGCCTCCACTCAGTGTCCTCCACCCCTCTCTGCCAATCCCTCCACTGGCCTCCACTCTGTGTCCTCCACCCCTCTCTGCCAATCCCTCCACTGGCCTCCACCCCCCTCTGCCAATCCCTCCACTGGCCTCCACTCTGTGTCCTCCACCCCTTTCTGCCAATCCCTCCACTGGCCTCCACTCTGTGTCCTCCACCCCTCTCTGCCAATCCCTCCACTGGCCTCCACCCCCCTCTGCCAATCCCTCCACTGGCCTCCACCTCCTCTGCCAATCCCTCCACTGGCCTCCACTCAGTGTCCTCCACCCCTCTCTGCCAATCCCTCCACTAGCCTCCACTCTGTGTCCTCCACCCCTCTCTGCCAATCCCTCCACTGGCCTCCACTCTGCGTCCTCCACCCCTCTCTGCCAATCCCTCCACTGGCCTCCACCCCCTCTGCCAATCCCTCCACTGGCCTCCACCCCTCTCTGCCAATCCCTCCACTGGCCTCCGCTCAGTGTCCTCCACCCCTCTCTGCCAATCCCTCCACTGGCCTCCGCTCAGTGTCCTCCACCCCTCTCTGCCAATCCCTCCACTGGCCTCCACTCAGTGTCCTCCACCCCCCTCTGCCAATCCCTCCACTGGCTTCCGATTGCGCAACGGATCAAATTCAAAATCCTAACACTGACGTACAAAGCTGTCCACCATACTGCCCCGAACTACATCACCGACCTAATATCCAAGTACCACCCAACACGCACACTCCGCTCCTCACAAGACCTCCTTCTCTCTAGTTCCCTGGTCTCCTCCTCCCATGCCCGCCTCCAGGACTTCTCCAGGGAGTCACCCATCCTCTGGAACTCCCTGCCCCAACCCATCAGATTATCACCTACTCTCCTCTCCTTTAGGCGCACCCTGAAAACCCATCTCTTCAGGGAAGCCTACCCCACCCCCTGCTAACTTGCTGACCTCCTCCACTCTTCCTACCACTCCATCCCCCACAGCTATCTCCTCCTGTGCCACCATCCCCCTCCCTCCTAGATTGTAAGCTCCAAGGAGCAGGGCCCTCGATCCCCTCATGTATCACATTGTATTGGTATTGTTCTGTCACATGTTCTGTCCCCCTTTGTAATGTACAGCGCTGAGCCAACTATTGGCGCTTTATAAATACTACTGTATAATAATAATAATAATATTTATTTTGCACTTTATATAATAATTTTTTTTGATTGGATTTAGAGATCTTTTTTGCGCTGTTTATTTATGTTTCATATTGTTTGTGTTTTTTCACATTTGCAGCAGCTTAGAGTTTGTAGTTTTATGGCGCAGGAATAATTTTTATATAAAATTCATTTTTTTCTGCACAGAACTGTAAAGAAACGCAGAAAAATGCATAAAAAACACACCGGAATGCACCAAAAACGCACAGGTACCTATTTCAATGGAAGAAAAAGAGAGGAGGGAAAAATAAACTGGAACGCATCAAAAACGCACCAAAAAAACCCCACCGGAATGCACATGTTTCCTATTTAAATTGAAGAAAAAAGGAGGGGCAAAAAATGTAACTGGGATGCATAAAAAATGCACCAGAATGCATAAAAAAATGCGTTTTTCTGCACAGGACTGTACTGGAACGCAGTAAAATGCATAAAAATGCACCAGAATGCACCAAAAACGCACAAATACCTATTGGAATTGAAGAAAAAGAGTGGAGGGAAAAATAAACTGGAAAAAAATGTATAAAAAATTGCACCGGAACGCACATGTCCCTATTTCAATTGAAGAGAAAGAGAGGAGGGAGAATTGAACTGGAATGATAAAAAATGCGCCGGAATGCATAAAAAAATGCGTTTTTCTGCACAGAGCTGTACTGGAACGCAGTAAAACGCATACAAAACGCACCGGAATGCTCCAAACACGCACAGGTAGCTATTTAAATTGAAGAGACGGGAGGGAAAACGAACCTGGAACACATCATCAAAACGCGCATGCGGAAACCCCTCCGGAACATCTGCACTGCGCTTCTATAGTGGGAACCGACCTGCGTTTTCAGTTCGGATGGCGTAGAAGAGGGTGATAGCCCCGCATCGGCTTTTTCATGGCTATCGGTTCCCCATTGCGGTGGTTTCCCCGTTCCATTGTTCTGATTCTAATGCCGCTTTCTGCATCGACTTTCCGCCTTGGACCCAGCGGGGGGGGGGGGGGGGGGGACAGCACACAGAATCCGCCGCGGCTGCACATGGCGGCCAATCAGCTTCTCACGTCATTTTGTTCAATTCATCTCTGACGATAAAGCCTGGAAGCTGATTGGTTCCTAGGCAGAGCTGCACCTCATTTTGCCCTCCCCCCCTTCCCCCCAGGCTGTATGGTCACTTGCTGACTTGGAATCGTCCACAAGCAGCTTCACTCTTCAAGAAGACGAATCAAATGTTTTTCACGTCCTTTGACGTGTAAGAAGACATCGACTTTCCTGAGCCCCGCCCCTGACACCTCCCCCTCTGCCCCCCTAACCCCGCCCCTGCAGAGAACTGACACTGGGGAACATGGAAGATACAGGGAGGGTCTGAACTAACTAGCAGGGCCAGGATGAGGGGTGGGAAGGAGGGGCGGCTGCCCCTGGGCACGTCCTCTTGTGTCCGCAGGACAGGAAGTGGATAGAAATCTTTTAATGGGGACACCTGTCTAAGAGGGGATATCTCCTCCCACTTCCTCTCGAGTCAGCAGGACAGGAAGTGGATAGAAATCTTTAATGGGGACACCTGTCTAGGAGGGGATTTCACCTCCCACTTCCTCCTGCGTCTGCAGGACAGGAAGTGGATAGAAATCTTTTTTAATGGGGACACCTGTCTAGGAGGGGATTTCACCTCCTTCTTCCTCTTGTGTCTACAGGACAGGAAGTGAACTCTTATAATGGGGACACCTGTCTAGGAGGGGATATCACCTCCCACTTTCTCTTGTGTCTACAGAACAGGAAGTGAAGGGAAATCTTTAATGGGGACAGCTGTCTAGGAGGGGGCTATCACCCCTCTCACTTCCTGTTGTGTCTGCAGGACAAGAAGTGGATAGAAATCTTTTAATGGGGACACCTGTCTTGGAGGGGATATCTCCTCCCAAATGTTCCTTGAGTCCGCAGGACAGGAAGTGAAGGGAAATCTTTAATGGGGACACCTGTCTAGGAGGGGGATATCACCCCTCTCACTTCCTGTTGTGTCTGCAGGACAAGAAGTGGATAGAAATCTTTTAATGGGGACACCTGTCTTGGAGGGGATATCTCCTCCCACTTCCTCTTGTGTCCGCAGGACAGGAAGTGAAGAGAAATCTTTAATGGGGACACCTGTCTAGGAGGGGATATCTCCTCCCACTTCCTCTTGTGTCTGCAGGACAGGAAGTGGATAGAAATCTTTTAATGGGGACACCTGTCTAGGAGGGGATATCTCCTCCCACTTCCTCTTTTAATGTCCAGCACCTTCATTCGTAAAATGTTTTGAGTGGTAAAACCGCACCTTTACCTGATTGGACGGAGTCACCCTTTAAGATCGCCCCGCGTTGTTTTCATCACAACAAACACACAATTTGACTTTTAAACACATTTTATTTACACCCCTCCCCCTCATCCCCCCCTCCCCCCCCCCCGTTCCCTTGGCTGTGTTGTGTGAATATGTTTCCTTCTTCATAGACAGAATATATATCTATATCTATATATACTGCGTGTGGATATTTGTCGGTTGTCACCCGGATCCCCTGGAGGTCGCTCGGGTCCCCTGGAGGTCGCTCGGGTCCCCTGGAGGTCGCTCGGCTCCTTCACTGCCGTCCTTTATGGTATACTTGCATTCCGATGACAAAGTAGATGACAAAGATGACGATAAATAAAATGACGCCGATCACCGACGACGCGATATTCAGCTTGTAGGTCGTGCGGGAATGTCTGGCGGCAACCGTGTCGTTCTGCAGGTAGATGGCGTCCCGCGTCTGCAAGAGGGAAATACATTATTATACATTTATAGCTCTGACATATACCGCAGCGCTGTACAGAGATCACTGAGCCAATCACATCAGTCTCTGTCCTGGAGGAGCTTACGCTCTAATGTCCCCTCCCCCGCAGTCCCATCAGTCTCTGTACCAGAGGAGCTTACACTCTAATGTCCCCTCCCCCCACAGTCACATCAGTCTCTGTACCTGGAGGAGCTACGCTCTAATGTCCCCTCCCCCGCAGTCCACATCAGTCTCTGTGCCGGAGGAGCTTACGCTCTAATGTCCCCTCCCCCACAGTCCCATCAGTCTCTGTACCGGAGGAGCTAACGCTCTAATGTCCCCACCCCCACGGTCCCATCAGTCTCTGTACCGAGGAGCTTACGCTCTAATGCCCCCCTCCCCCACAGCGGTCCCATCAGTCTCTGCACCGGAGGAGCTTACGCTCTAATGTCCCCACCCCCGCAGTCCCATCAGTCTCTGTACCGGAGGAGCTTACGCTCTAATGTCCCCTCCCCCGCAGTCCCATCAGTCTCTGTGCCGGAGGAGCTTGCGCTCTAATGTCCCCTCCCCCACAGTCACATCAGTCTCTGCACCGGAGGAGCTTACGCTCTA